GAATAAATAAGAAAGCATTTGGCTGAGTAACAAAAGGCTCCTTGGTTTTCTTATTTCATTTGATTGCTTGTCTGGATAACATCAATAGTTCTAGAAGGTGGGCTGCCCTGGGAACAGCTCTGGAAACTGCTCATGTTTCCTTGTCTCCCAGGGGACTTTAGACCCTGAGAGATCCTGATCACGTCTCCTGCTGGGAAAAATGCGTTACAAAAATAGAAGCGGAGAAGAAAGGTTGAAATCGAACCTCCACACGTAATGACATTATCTACTGGTCAGAGGAGATACGCTCTGAGCTATTTTTCCAATAAGTGGAAAAAAACAAAGCTGCCCTGTTTGGGCATGGCCTCCGAGGCTCCGCCACAGGGCCCAGGGCACCTTCCTCTGGGGGGGAGGGGGGGTTGACCCCCTTGGTCCACTCCTTTCCTCTCCCCGCAGAAAGGGACATGGGTTTGGTCACTTAGCTTTGGAGAGTGCAGTACTAAATGGTCTAGGCGGCCAGCTTTGTGGGTGTGTCCTGTGAGGGGCTCACACGGGCCCTACGCTTGGTTACTGCTCTGTGTCACTGTCTTAAAATTATGAATAATTTTTCAGCAAAGGGTCCTGTATTTTAATTTTGCACTAGACCTTGCCAATGGGAGAGCCGGTCCTGTGTCCAGGCCAGGCTGGGGTAGTCCTGGGGAGGACGGGCTTGGGGAACTTATTCCAACTACAATTGTGGACCCAGGCCCATTTCCACCTTTGAAATCAGGTTTAGAAATACACTTAAAGCCAGACTCCACTCTGTTACAGCCCCCTGGCAGAGTGGACAGAGAAAGCAGCCGCCTTCCAGCTGATTTGGGGGTCAGATGGTGAAAGCCTGCCCTCGTGTCCTGGGCCTTGAAATGTTCCCTGTGTCCAGGGCCCACCCAAGAGAACAGCGCTTGAGAGGCGGCTGCTCCATCAGCCTTTTTCATAGCTTTTAGGATATCAGTAAAGACAGACAATTCAGAGTTGAATTGAATAATGCTCAGAAGGGAGCAGTCAGAGGCTCATCCTGTCACCGCCCTGGTCACCTCTGAGGCTGGGACCAAGGGAGGGGTCTCCTTAGGTACTAGTGTGAGGCTGAGCCTTTGCTAAAAGGCCAATAGTCTTACTC